AAACTAAATGGTGCTAAATTTTAAGTAGATTTACTTTGGCAGTTTGTAACAGAGATAGGTTCTCCAAGCGAGGTGGGGTGTAGATTATCTATTTGTTTTTATCATTGAATCAAATTTCGCTTGTTTTGATTTGTAATTTATTTTTAGTATAGTATATATATTTAATGTAAGTTTTTTTTTAATATTGTATTTATATTTATTTTTTTAATTGTAATTTATTTTTTAAAATAGTATTTTTATTGCTTGTTTTAATTTGTAATTTTTCTTTTTTAAAAGTTATTATATTTTGTTTACATTGTATGCTATTGTTTTTAAAAGAGTACTATGTCAGATTTGAAGATCGGTTGAAGAAATTTTATATTCACTGATAGCTCATCATTATCTACAGAGCCCCAATCTCTAGCCAGGTATCCGTTAGAGCTGGGTGGACTCAAATACCCATCGAAATTGAGTGAGAAACTGAAAGGCTAGGAATTTATTTTAAAAATGATGTGATATTAAAAACTAGATGTATATGGTATAAATTTGACATCAAAAGCTATATGGTACCAATATGACATCAAAAACTTGATATATATTTTACCAATGTGAAACTATTGAGAAAGTTGGTTCACAAGGCATCGGAGATTTCTCTACTGCCCAAAGATTGTTCAAACTTACCAAATGACGCCGGCATACAGCTGATTTGTTTTGTTTCTAGCCTAGACTACACAGTGACGTTGTTTATATCAATCATTTGTTTTCACAACATTTGTTTACTTAAAACTATTTCAGAGGGAATTTTCATATTGGTGTCCCGACACATTAATGGGGTCTGTTTTGATTTTTAAAAAAAGGATAACAAAATGATACCTAATTCTACAGTGTCAACGCGAACCCATTCCCTCACACTAACTCAAGTCCTACCATTGGGTTTAGTTACACCTTCAGACCCAAATCACTGACCCTAAACCAAGTCCTATCATCCGGTAAAGTTATACATTCAGATCCAATCCCTGACCCTAACCCAAGTCCTACCACAATGTAAAGTTATACTTTCAGACCTGACGGTCCAAGAATAGTTCAGCTGTCGGCAGACAAAGGGATAGTAAGGTCCAAATACGTAGCCATGTTCTTTTAGAAGTGGAAACAGTAGTGTATACAATGGTCCCACTTTTCACTTTAGTATCTTCGTCGGGGATCTTTACACGTGAATAATTTGTGAAAAGAGTGCAGCTTTCTGCTCACCTACTTCACGGGGTGAGTTCTATGTGAGGTACTCGCCAGACCTGGATGGAGTCAAATTGCTACGGACTCGGTCCCCCAATTTGAACTTGAATCTTTTGGGTTAGCTATCGTGCGCTCTACTGTCGACCACACCGCCCCGCCAAATCTGGCCATAACACTAATCGTTGTTTTCACATAACAGATGGTAGTAGAATTCTGGTAACTACCAAACTATCTGTGATATAGTGAGTACATTCCGGTGTAAATGGTTGCATCTAGGCTTGTGACGGGTAAATGAATGTAAACATAGCGAATGTTCTTTCACTGGGGAGGGGAGTGGGTACCTGCATCTACCTGTCTGGGTAGCCACAAGCGGGCTACCTAACTCAGATAGCATTTACTTGCCAGGGTAGCCAACAGCGGCTATCAGTCTGTGAGATTGTTCTAGAAAAACGGTTGAGTGATAGATCAGTGTTAAATCAGCTGTGTACTGGGTTCGGATCCAGATGGGGAAATAAAACATTTTACAACTTTCACTACATTGATTTGGTTATAATATTTTGGCAAACAAATCTTTTGTTTCGCCACATTGTCCTTAGCCGAAACAAGGTTTACATTTTTAAATAAAGTTGTATAGTCCATTTAGTATAAACCGAAGGCCACACATATCAACTGATATGACTAGAGTGTCTATTTTTAACACAATTAGCAGCAGATCTGCAGAGCGCGGTACGTGTGTGGAAATATATTGTGTGGACATACTCGGGTGCCAGTTACAGGGAATAAAATGTACGTTATCTTACAGGTAAGGGTAGTACGGTGAGTACACCAACTACCCATTTGTGAGCTCACGTGTGTTAATCAAAGAAAACCAATGTATTGAGTTTAACTGTAATCGATGCTTTAGTCAAGCATCATATACTATACTTCTGTATAAACTAACCTTAATCTGGTACTCAAAACTATATACTTCAGGTAAGCGAAAAGCAAACTGTAGGTTTGTTATGTTGTATTATATATGTAACAGTATGTTCAGAAATTTGATATTATCTTATAATAGAGTTTTAATATAATAAAATGTAAAAAATAAACATTTAAAAAATTACCATTAAAGCACTGAGTTTTGATTGAATGAAAAATTAAAGATTCTTAGAAAACACTCAATGTGTTTGCATAATGGACCACAATGTTTTGGTTTAATTTTGTTTATTGAATTATTTTTGTCCAGAAATGTTACGGACTTTATTTTAATAAATTGTTACTAATTAGGTAAAGTTTAAAGTACAATTATATAAATTAGGAAACCTACACATATATCTAGTTTTTTGATAATTCTGTTTTAGAATAGAAAACCTACACCAATGTTTAGAGTCTTGATACTTGTGCTTTATAATAGAAAACCTACACATATATTTATTGATAAGATACACATGTTTTATAATAGAAAACTAAACATATATTTATTTATTGATAAGATACGTATGTTTATAATAAACACCTAAAGAAATGAACCTTATATTCGGATGAGACCAACCCACAACCCGATTTTGACCCGCGGGTCAGTCAATTCGTTTTTCTTAAATTTAATGAGTTCTTTCTTAGTTTTACATATGCGTTTACGTGTTTGTGTTTTGGTGTTTGTGTGTTGTCACTTTTATTCACCCCTATACAACTCATAACATACACATTCATTGACACTGTAGTATACACAATATTAATATATACAACAATAAGAGCATGGGATAGGCTACCGATTATGTGTAAACATTATTCTGTACTATACAGGCTAGTCTACCGGTTAGGTTTAAAGAAAACTATGAAAATATAGGCTAGTCTACCGGTTAGGTTAAACCACCACTGTACCCACTTCAATCAAACTGACGGGGTATGTTCTTACCACAACTCTAAAGTAACGTGTTTGTGTGTGTGTGTGTGTGTGTTTGTGTGTGTGTTTGTACCCCAGACTTTGAACCATGTCTAATCACAACTCTAAAGTAACGGTTGTGTGTGTGTCTGTCTGTGTGTGTGTGTGCGCGTGTGTTTGTGTGTGTCTATACCCCAGACATTGAACCATATCTAACCTCAACAAACGGTTATGTTTTCATAATCCTAGCCGATCACTCTCAACCCTTTGATCTATTGTATATACTCGTGTGTGCCCGGTCCGTCTGTATGCGCGTGTGTACGTTTCGGTCCACGGGTTAGAGGTAGACGTGTTTGAGGGGGGGGGGGGGTGTTATTAGAAAATTGCCGGCATACGGCGACTGGATGTTCAAAAGAAAACAAAAAAATAATAAGAATACATTTCCGGCACCGTAACGGCATGTGTTTGGTGACGTTGGCGTGTCGCGGAGGGCGTGTTTGTTATTTTGGTGCTTATCGAGGTGTGTTAGCACACCTGTGACACACCTGTCACCTCAGGCAGAGCGTGTACGTTACACTACTACCCCCCCCCCCCCTCGTCCTTCTGTGTTTAAAAGTTACGCATCGATGACGCGCATTAAACCGCGATATATTATCATTAACCCAAACCAATGTGAATTATTTATAATCATCTCCAATCATAAACTGCATGAGTGAACAGCATAAATAATGCATACTTGGACAGTATATGAATATGATTTCAATTCTGTCATATTCAAGGACAGCCCTGCTAAAAGTAAGAATACAATTCTCTACTTCTATCTTTACCGGTGGGGAATTATTCACAAACGTAACAAAGATCTTATTTTTTAATCCTACCAGCAAAGCTCGCTGTTATGGTTAATAAAAGAATTATAATTAATTAAGGAATGTTAGGGATTAGGTCACTAATTACGACTATGGTTATGATAATGAGTCTAGAAAAAATATATTTTAAAATCATTTGTCGGATAACATTTAAGTACTAAAAATCGTGTATTGTGTTGTGTATAGCCTACTATACTGGGCTGTGAAAGACTTGAATGCGCTACTCTAAGACTAGGCTTATACCGCGGCTTATGAAAACCGGTTCGTCTCAAGACCCCTTCCTCGCGTCTATTTGATTCTTCTATACCTCACTAAATATAAAGATACGCGTTTACGTAGAGTTAGTTTTTCACCGCATACAACACGGTAAAATGTAAATATATATTGAACAGCTTTATTTATATTGTAATTTAAACTATAAATTAACAAATAATGACATAATTATAAAATCTAGTATTATTAATTCATAAAACTGATTAATTAGCTTTTTAGGCTAGTTATCTCATCCATCTAAATAATAGTTTAATTGCGTAGTTTTTACTTCATTTAATCCCGATTCGCCTACTAAACTATTCTCGCCTATAAAATTAGTATTGTTGCGCATGGCGGTGGTTGATTAAGACTTAAATAATTAACGCCGGGCTTTCGTAAACCGGTTTGATAAGATGTAGCTTAAGCTAGTTGGCCGCCATTTCTGCTTGGCTAGGCAGGAGATTAACGACTGATACACAGATATAAGTCCCGGGAGCTTAGGTCGGGGGTTGCTGTGGTTGTGTCATCTACAACCCGGACTAATCCTAAACTCAAGTTAAGGTTTAATTAAGCTATACGGAAGTATTTATTAGACGTAACTTATTTTCTTAAAACGACGTAAATCAAAATTAGAGCATCGTAATTATTATAAAAAGTAGCGAATGGAGTTTTTAAAATAATTAATTAGTCTGATTAATAAACTATTCTATATAACTCCTGCGATGTAAGAAAATTGTAAAATAGTATTCATAATTAGCGTATTTTAATTAATAAATAGTGATGTTTTGAGGTATTAAAAAAAAATGAATTACCTGCTTAGTAAAGGTTTAGATTGTTGACGTAAAATTTGAATCCACCTAACTCAAGGCAGTTATCCAGAGATTTAACCCTAGCCGTGTTAGGATTTGATGAGCATTGGACACGTATGACAAAAAAAATAAAGCTAAAAATCCTCTTCATTGAACACACATCATTGTCCTTTTCAACTAAAAACAAATGAAACCAAAGTCGCTCTAAAACAGAAACTTTAAAAAAGCAGAAGGCTCTCTGTCAAGTCCTTGTGGCTGGATGCTCCAACGATAGGTTCTGGTTAAGAGTCAATCGTGCGGGACTTACCAACGCCTGGGTAAGGTTGAGTTAGGAGCCTCTTCTTCGATTGCACTCGACGTACAGAAATGTCCTACAGCCCACAAGCCAGTGGCCACAAAAGCCTTCAACGACAGTTAAATGGTTCCTCAGGATGAAACAACGAGTAGGAATCCACCCTTTTTAGGAAGATTCCAAGATTCGCCTATACAAGGAAAACGTCTGCAATTCCGCCCATTCCCCGGACCAAGCCACCCCTATATCACAACAGCGGTAGGCTCGCCTTCCACGTGACGCGCCGGCGCAGTGGACGAGAAGACGTATCGACCTGGGTTGAGGCCCCGCCCACTTTCCACCCGCCGCATCCCGCGCGCGCTACGTCTGGCTCGGCTGATGCGAGACAACGTTGAGTGATGTTCACGGGGGCCAATCCGCGATCAGCGTGCCGTACCCTAAGCGTTCTTCACGCTGTTATTCAAAATACCCCGAGACTTAGCAGCATTTTATTTACCAAATCATTCACATCTCTTTCTCTCACTAATAATTAGCGCTCGTCAAATGTACTACGCGCAATGAAAGAAAGTTACAACCCCCCCCTCCCTTTTTTTTTCTTCATCTTTACTTCGCAGAAAACCCACTTCGTTGAAAGCCCACTTTTGAAAATCTTAACATTACGTTTCAGCATGTTAAAAAATTAAATATCCAGACGGAGAAAAATTGTGTAAGATAAGCTTCAATGTTTAAAACAAAGACTGCATTCATTTTGAGTTCAGTTTGACATATATTAGATCTACAAGTAATGCGTGTATTTATTTTAAACCGGTTTTTATGCTTTAAGCTTAACATTAAAATATTGAGAAATGAAAATATTTAGAAATTAAATTATTTAATTCTTTAGTAGAAGTTTTACTAAGTCATTCGATATTTTAAAACTAGGCGCAACAGTAGTTTCCTACATTAAATTAAATTATTAATTTAATTTAGAGTATTTTATTGTGTATACACGACACGACTCTTTCGCCCATGTAATTCTTTTTAAAGTCGGGCTTCGTCTTATAGGCCTACGCCGGGTGTTGTGATATACGGCGAATTATTCCACACTTTATATTATATGGCGAATATATCCCACACTTTATATTATATGGCGAATATATCCCACACTTTATATTTCTACAGGAAACGATCGGGGTCTTCTTGTGCGCCTAGTGATATACGCTGGAAGACACGGTATTATGCAATGATTTGTTTATATTTGTGTTATATCACCAACATCAGGGGTGGACTAGCTGTGCCTAAGAGACCCGGGGGAATTTTAAAAAGTGCCGCCCAAATTCATATTGAAATTTTCATTGTGCATTTTTTCTCCACAAAAACCTAAATTTTACGCCTTGGTATGAGGGAATGATAAACTAGCAACAATTAAAAACAATTTAGAATCCCATAACTTGCACTGACGTCAATAACTTAAGACAGTAAGACGTGTCTTGTCTACGACTGTCTCATAAGCCCATATCATACACATACTGTATGACGTCAATAACTTAAGACAGTAAGACGTGTCTTGTCTACGACTGTCTCATAAACCCATATCATACACATAAGGTCTGACGTCAATAACTTAAGACAGTACGACGTGTCTACGACTGTCTCATAAGACCATAACGTACACATACAGTCTGACGTCAATAACTTAAGACAGTAAGACGTGTCTTGTCTACGACTGTCTCATAATCCCATAACGTGCACATACAGTCTGAGGTCAATAACTTAAGACAGTAAGAAGTGTCTTGTCTATGACTGTCTCATAAGACCATACCATACACATACGGTCTGACTATTGCCATCAACTTCCTATGGCTGTATGAGGTAGACCACAAATTGTGTACATCCTAGACACTTGGTATCTTATTTATTCGGCGGGGAAAACTTTAAGGGTAGTTACTGCACTAATATGTTTTTTATTTACACATCTTAATTATTGATGTGGTGTATATTAAAATAAAAAATATATTTTTTAAAATGTTAATATTTTTAAAAAATATATATTTGATATATATATATATATATATATATATATATATATATATATATATATATATATATATATATATATATATATATATATATATATATATATATATATATATATTAAAAAACAACAATTAAAAAAAACCCATCAGTGATTCTGCCCTAACATCAAACCTGGTCACGACTACAATATGTAGACACAGGTGTATCGCTACAAAGCCCGGAAAAGTAAACAAATAGCTACCAGCTAAAGCACAAACATATACATACATTGGTAGTCGTAACATAGAGGCACAGATGGGTTAAAACAAACATATACCAGTACATCATAGATCTTCATTCACAAACATCACACATCATTGACCTATCATAAACATCACCCATCCTTGCCATCCACCCACAAACATCGTTGCCTTCTACCTACAATTATCAAATATCATAGCCCTCAACCCACAACATCACACATCAAAGCCCTCAACCCACAAACATCGCACATCACAGACCCCCTCCTACAAACATCACACATCACAGACCCCCACCCACAAACATCACACATCATAGACCTCCACCCAATAACATCATACATCATAGACCTCCACCCACAACATCACACATCATAGCCTTCCACCCATATCATCACACATCACTAGCTCTCCACCCGCAAACATCACACATCATAGCCTTCCCCCCATATACATCACACATCATAGCCTTCCACCCACAAACATCTTTGTAATCTTTGTTGTTCCATATCTTGTAGACTATTTCTTCATTTCACCAACACATAATCGACCACTGAGTACAATATTGCCTGTACGCTGGTTCCAGAGTCGCAAAACATTAGCAGGCAACTAGTGCGTTGCTGCTGGCATGTCTACATTTATCCCAACCTTGACTCTTATATTCAACTCTAGCACTGGTTCTAGACCTACTTAAACCATGACACCAAGGCGTCGTCCATAAATGACGTCACGCCAGGGGCGTAGCGAGGGGGGGGGGGGGGGGGCGGGGGTGCGGACCGCACCGGGTGACACCATTTAGGGGGGGTGACACCAAGGCAAAAAATAGCAAAATATATATAGAAAAACTTGAGGGGGGGTGCAAATCGAAAGTTTGAGGGGGGGGGGGTGCAAATCGAAAACTTGAAAGTTTGTCCCCGGGAAGGGTTGCAACGCCTCTGGGGGGGGGGGGGGGGGTGACACCATTAAGTGCCGCACCGGGTGACACCCGACCTCGCTACGCCACTGCGTCACTCTACTAGGGTGATTGGAGGTTATTGCCTTGGTTCCAACAGGGAGTTGGGGGAGGGCTGAGTTTCTTCCAGGCATCTCTTCCCGGGGGGGGGGGGGCAAAGCCCCCACGAAAAATGTTTACCGCCCCCCCCCCCCCCCCGAACGATATGAAATTTTGAAATTTATTTAATTTATATAGGAAAAAATAAATACTTTTAACAGTGTCCGCCCCCCCCCCCACCGAAGAAAGTCTACCGCCCCCCCCCCCCCCCCCGGAATTGTCAAGTGCCCCCCCCCGGAGAAAAAAGTCTGGAAGAAACACTGGGGGAGGGGTGTAAACTTTGCACTTTTGTACTCTTAAAATTAAATTTATACAGAAATTTTCCCAGATATATTTCGCATTTTTCTTCTAATTTATATACTTTATGTAAATTTTACTATACATATCAAAATAGCCTTGGTTAGGTTCATGAACATTTTAAAAAAAAGTCTAGAGTCTAGATGCTATACGGTATACAACTGCCGAATTCCAGAGCAGAATCTCGGTATCTAACATTCATCCAGGGGCGTAGCGAGCGGGGGGGGGGGGGCGGGGTTGCGGACCGCACCGGGTGACCCATTTAGGGGGGTGACACCAAGGCAAAAAATAGCAAAATATATGGAGAAAAGTTGAGGGGGGTGGGGTGCAAATCGAAAGTTTGAGGGGGGGGTGCTAATCGAAAACTTGAGGGGGGGGTGCAAATCAAAAATTTGAAAGTTTGTCCCCGGGAAGGGTCGCTACGCCTCTGGGGAGGGGGGGAGGTGACACCATTAAGTGCCGCACCGGGTGACACCCGACCTCGCTACGCCACTGCATTCATCTAACAATCAGTACAAACCGCATATATGTATGCAGATAAACCTAACAAAAAGGACATGAACACAAGGCCAACACGACATATTAGCATGTTCATAAACCTAACATAAAGAATATGTACACAACACTCTGACCACATATAGACATACCATCATATGTATGTAAGCCACCCCTACATAAACCTTACATAAATCATATGAACAAAACACCCTAACCACATATATGTATGTACATAAATCTAACATAAAAAACACTGACCACATATGTGTATATACATAAACCTAACATAAAAAACACTCTGACCATATATATGTATGTACATAAATCTAACATAAAAACATTCTGACCACATATCTGTATATACATAAACCTAACATAAAAAACACTCAGACCACATATATGTATGTACATAAACCTAACATAAAAAACACTCAGACCACATATATGTATGTACATAAACCTAACATAAAAAACACTCAGACCACATATATGTATGTACATAAACCTAACATAAAAAACACCCCCATCCACATTCCCTTCACGTGTCACAGAACCAACGAAAAAAAAATCAAGGCATTTTTGTTTCCAACCATTTCAACTCGGGCCCTAACAGCGAGTGCCTGGACCGCCCTAGACCAACATCATTCATTCAATCCGACCATTAACTCGCGTCTATTGTTGACCACACACCCTAGGTGTTGGTCACTGCGGTCAATTTGACACCTGGCCTTTGAATAGCCTAGCGCGTGCGTCAAATCATTGACCACTGTGGAATGTCCTGTTCTGGTCGAGAGGGGAGGTGTAGGTGTGGGTCAAGTATCGGGTAGGTCACGACACGACTGAATAGATTTTTTTCATTTTTTTATGTTTCGGTGTAGATTAGAAACACTCTTGTAAGTCCTGGAGAGCCGGGCGACAAAACAAATCTACTGATGAAGAGATTATCGACCAGGGTTTAAGCTTTCATCCCAGGGGCGACACCGGTCAAATGTTTGGGTTAATCCGCTGTTAAGTTGATACGCCTCAAATTGGGGGTCGGGATCTTGAGATGGCATTGTTGGATGGCATGAAATAAAGTCATCGTGTCAGTCTTACATACAGTCAAACTCGTACT